CAGTTTATTTATTATGTAATTCAGCCTTTGGGCTGTCATTTTCAGTATTTTCAATAAACCATTCAATTTAATTTAAATTTATTTCATTAGGTTTCAAAATTCACACGTTGATCTGACCATGGTTTGAGGTCACCATGAAACATTACATTTTGTTTAATTCTAGAAAAACTATACTTATTGGGGTTTAAAGCCCCCCCCCCTAAAAGTGTTAGGAGCTCTAAAGTTCCCCAAAAATCTTATTTCAACATTTCACTTCAAAGTTATAATGATGTGAGTGTGAGAGAGGATATAATTTGACACTCACTTGTGTAAGGGTTTTTCAAAGCAAATGTGTCTAAAGACAAATATTAATGAAAGAATGCAAATTTAAGTATTCTGCGTACAACAGAAAAACCCAATTGTGTAAACTTTCATCAATATTTTTCGTCAAACACAATTATTTTACAAATCCTTGCAGAAGTTAATGTTATATGTTGCCCACTTCCTCTTCATTATACAATAGAATTGAAATTGTTCCATCAAATTTTTGGGACGCCCAACACTGTCTTTAGAGATGCTTAATAAGCTGATGATTGTAAGATAAATTCGACCAGGAAGACGTTGCCATCCGCCGTTAATACGCGTGGTCCTATCTGCTTGATTTTAGAATGTTTCCCTTTAGTTGCATTAAATTAGTGGCAAATGAGAATGAGTGGCTTGACAAAGCTTTTTCGAGGGGGGATGTTTTGTCGTAGCACTTAATAGTGCCTTCATTTCAACCTGATTGCCCTTTGGTAAAGTACGTAGCACTAACCGGGGATTTTAAAAGTTCCACATTATGGTCTTTTGAAATAAAAAGGGCAATTGATACCTTAAGCTTCCTAAAAGGTACTTCTTTGTAAATTAAGAAAGACACTGTGACATTGCAGTCATTTTTCCTCGTTAACGGAAAATACTATCGTTTTAACTGTTTAAAGGGCATTTTGTGCAGGGAATTTTGGAATGTGGGTGGAAATTTCTGGATATTTGAAGATGCATGCTTGAGTAATTGAATAGCGCTGTGTCGAGTTTGTCCAGGGGCGTTTCACAAAACGTGTCATCAGTGACAAATGACAGTTTTTTGTTATAAGCTACTGAAATCCTTGCTTCTGATTGGTCATCAGCAGATTTGTCACTGATATTAGTCAAACATTTGTGAAACACCATCCTAGTATTGTTGCGTTATTTGAAAAGTCATTAAGATTGAAGTGAGAAAGAACATATCAACTACTTTAAAATGGTATTTAGAAGGTCAAAGAATAGGTTGTCATGGGTCTGAAAATCGTTTTCACTAGGCCACTTGTGGATAGGGTCACCTTTAAAAAGGGGTACTGTTTAATGTTGTAAAGATGTGAGGGAGAATTGTATCTCTTCTGAAGGAGGTGGCAGGACAGACATTCGGTCAACCAAACATCCAATCAATTATTATGCAATCGATCATTCATTTATTTTGTAAATCTTCATTCATTCAATCAATCAAATAATCAATCAATCAACCAATCAGTCAGTAAATCATTCATTCATTAAGTCAAGTTGGTCAACCAAGTCGTCATTCAATCAGGCAGTCTACATTATCATCATCATCATCATCTTCATCATCATTATCATCATTATCATCATTATCATCATCATCATCATCATCATCATCATCATCATTATCATTATCATCTTGATCGTCATTATCATCATCATTTTCATCTTCATTATCATCTTGATCGTCATTATCATCATCATTTTCATCTTCATTATCATCTTGATCGTCATTTACATACACAAATAACATCACCGTTTTCATCAGCATGATTACCATCCTCCTTATCTTTCTCATCCTCCTCCTCTTTCTGTTCTCCTCTTTCTCCTCCTCCTCCTTTCATTCTCCTCTCCCCTTCTCCTCTTTCTCCTCCACGTTATCATCTTCATAATAATAATAATGCTCCTCACCGTTTCGATCGTTAAACATACACTTCTCGGTTCCAAAAACTCAAACTTGAAAGCAAAAGAAAAACACCGTCTCTTGGATAGAATGTGAAATGGGGGTGAAGTTTTCCCATGAAACTTCCATCACCAACTAATTTGATGGGGAGTTAAGAACTGACTCGTCTTCAGACACGTTCATTCAGCGGAGACGCGCTTTTATTTCGTTTTTGTTTGCTTCACACAAAAATAGTATCAGGATCTATCGATTGTTAATACAAATAATAATTGATTGCTAATAATGTGAAATACGGAACACTTCTTGGTTTCATCGTTGCCATATATAATACGAACAAACAGGACTAAAAAGAAACCTCCGATCAGAGATATGACGAGTTTTAATATATGATCACCATCAGGAACTAAAGTAAAAACAACAAATTGAATTTAGGTACTGACTCAGTGAAATGACCACTGACAAGAGCTATAATATATACTCAGATGCATATCAGAATCTACATGTATTTTACAATTCAACTGTATGGATAAAGTTCAGTCAAGAGACGAAAACCAAAACGAATATTGTTATAGCTCCAAAAGGGAGAAGTATATGTAGAAATAATACTCTTTTATTGTAACTTTTCAAAAAAGGCGGCCGCTGATAACAGATGTCAAACGAAGAGTAATTACCCCAAACTATAGACATAATAAAATGCCCAAATCACAGAAACAAGCAATCGTTGTGTACATTCAATCAATCAACAATAGCACAAAAATAAGAAATCAACTGATTTGATGTGATTGTAATATAGGATAATTCTTTTATTTTTTAAATCAGTTCTATGAGTTGACTTAACATTTAATGCTTCTTACAATTTACAAATATACAAAACATGATGGCGCATTTTAGATGATGCTGTCAAGGGCATGAGGTTATATCATACTATGTGTTTTTCCATTATATTACTGGGAAAATCAGAGTCATCTCTTTATATTAAGAAATCTAATTCAACATCATATTAGGATATTTTATTTCAAACATATTCATCTAAAACGTTATAACCTGTCTCAAGCTAGTGTATATTTAAGTTGTATTCAGTAACACTAAACATTATATTTAAGAGATAAAGATAAATTAAGGAGATAATATGCTAAATTAATTATCAGTTATGCTAGCATGAAATATATTATACTTAATACATTATATTATATATTATTACTTAAGACATTATTATAAGACATCCCCAAAATGGCTGAGGGGTTATATAGACAGAGCTCGAATGTGCATGAGCTGCTCTGTCAAGTACAGATCTTAAAATACAAATCGAATGACACTGTTATGATTAAAGACTCACTGAGACGATGAAACAAATACACATAACTGAAAGGTCAAAGAAAATTTTTAAATGGCTTGATTCGACCACTCATTTTGGATTAACAAAGCGAATTTACGATCTTACAGCAACGACGGCCCAATAGCCACTCCCCATGTTTAAACATCGAAAGCATTTTGAAATTTAATAAGGAGGGGCGGGTCTGTTGAGCTAGATTTAGCGGAATGTTTAAAGATCTAAAATCTTACATAAGTGACGATCTAATTCTTAACTTTTTATTAATTTCCCTAAAATTCCATCAACAGCAAATTACCTTGTCCCTCTCAAAATATCTTCTTATTAAGTGAGTCAGAGGCGGCGCTCCGGGGGGGGGGGGGCACAGTTCCCCCAATTGTTGAAGTACCTCAAAAGTACCCCTTTTCACGTAGGTAAAGTGCCCCTATAACTTCGTAAGAAGTGCCCCTTTTTACAAAGAAAAAGTGCCCCTATTACTTTTCACCTATAATAAGTGCCCCTTTTATTTTGACACATGCCCCTTTTCCTGCGACAAGTTCCCATTTTCCCTTGCAATACGTTTCCATTTTCTATTCACATGAGTGCCCTTTTAAATCTCTAGTAAGTGCCCCTTTTCAGGTACGAGAAGTGCCCCTTTTCACTTTTGATAAGTGCTCCCTTTACCTCTGATAATTACCCTTTCAATTTGACAAGTGCCCCTTTTCCTTTGTAAGAAGTGTCCCTTACAATTTAAATAACTCCCCCTTATTAACTCCGATAAGCACACGTTTTATTTTACACGTGTCCCTTTTCCGTATGATAAGTGCCCCCATACAAAAAGAGCTCCTTCCCCTTTTCATGAATGCCCCTTTTCCCCTATGAAGACTTTCCCTTTTCATTCTCATAAGTACCCCTTCCCTTTCTCATAATTACCCCGTTTCATCTCTTATAAGTGCTCCGTTTATTTTAACTTTTTAATTTTAATAAGAACCACTTTCAACTTCTCATAAAAGTCTCCTCAAAATGTATCGGTGTCCCTTTTCTTTAAACAAATGCACATTTTCCTTTTATAGCCCTTCTTCATTCTCACAAGTACGCCTTTTCATATCTGGTCAGTGCCCCTTTTCAGGTGCGATAAGTGCCCTTTTTACCTCTAATTATTTCCCTTTTAACAATGATACGTGCCCCTTTTATGCTTAAACAATATATTTTATGACGTATAAAGAGAAACAGATATTGAAAGCATCCCAGAGAATGTAATCACAATGTATGGGTACATACCATGTCCCCAAAATTGTATATTTTCGCTTTGAGATTTCCCTTTGTAGGTGCCCACTTTTTCTAGAAAGTTCCCTATTTTGTTGGTGCCCCCTCCTCATTTTGGAAGTCACTCGAACTGATTAAACATTATTTGAACATCACATTTGTCACAGTTGGCCTTCTCTTAAAGACCATCAATACTACTGGGCCAGAAGGGATTAGACCACCCAGCCAGGTCACTGACAGGTGGCTCACATCAACTCAGCTCTCAACTAATATTAGAAGAAGAGGATCATGGGGGACCAACAGGCACCGATTGGGGAAGTTTTCTATATAGAGGGAGCATGTAGCTACAAGTAGGACAGTGGGGCTTTAAAAGAAATGCATTAATAAGCTAATTCGAGTACTGAAAAAAGTTCACCTTTAAAATGTAATTGTTATTCAACATTCGGCATCATCTACAAAATGTGATGTTATACTAAACTGATGACTTATTTTGAAAGGATAAAAACACGGAAACATATCAGTTTCTCATCAGAGCCATTCCGTCAAGACCTGCGGAAGAAAAAATAGAAACAAGTACATGAGATATAAAACAAGCGGTGGTATTAATAGGCTTTTGACCTTGTAGAATGTTTCCTAGGAATCTATTAAGCATTCAGCAAGTTTTTAGATATTTAACATGAAACTGATGAACAAAAGCAAAACAATGGGACGGGAAATTACAGACCTTTGAGTATACCTTAATGATCAAACAGCCTACTTCACATTCATAACACCAAGTATTCGCTTGATTGATTTAAAGCCATGAGGGTTTTTTAATTGCACACGATCTCATATTTCTGGCAATTAATTTTCGTCCAGCATTACAAAATGACATCCCAGGCAGTCATAATGCAATATCATCACGAATGAAACGTTTTTATTAACATTAGATTCATGTGTATGAGAGTTAAAGCCAAACAATGAAACATAATATCTTGAAATATCACCATTCATGGAAAATTGATAATAGATAACCCCCTGACAATATTCAGATCGGCTTGTATGGCAGTCAATAACTTCACCGCACGATAATATCGATATCGGCACGCGATTTCTTGAATTAAACGCCAGTTTGCCGTCCTCCCATTACGATTTCAAGACAATTATTGTCTATTATTACGTATGACTATAAGTTCAGGGACGTGGAATCTACACCCTAGCTTCAAATGAAGATTTAAGAAATGTTCGCTCGGAGTGGATGCAGTCTGCTTTCAAATTAGATCAACCGCAATAAGGTAAACGAATTTTAAAGCAGTGCTTTTTTGCTAATTCGAAATTGATTCCCCTCTTTTCTCAAACGCTGAAAACTCATTGAGCATTATTTGGTATAACCTTTAAACGAATCATTCTAACTCTTACCTTTCTTTCAAATGAGATTCAACCTTTCTATCATAATTATCGTTTCATAAGTCTAGACAATGCAGCTAAAAAGAACAAATACAGTGTCACATGTGTCCGGGCTTAGAGATATCTGGTAGGAATCTGGGGTTGGAATAAAACTTCGATGATTCAGATTGATGGTGATGATGATGGTCGTGGTGGTCGTGGTGATGAATTTTACATACTTCTGTTATAAATCCACACGATTTTAAGCTGGGCCCAGAATTATAATTTCCACCGCATTTATAGAAAGAATAAATGGAATGGCTACATTTATGATTGGTTAATCCCCCAAGGAATTGTGGTGAAGTACCGTATTCTAATATTGAAAAACCCAGGATACATAATGTATACATATTTTTATTTTCAAGCCAGACATGCATTAGCAAAATACACTGCAGGTATGCAAGAGATCTGAATACTTTTACAGAATGAGCAGTCATTGCAGGTTTTTCTTTGAAGTAGTTTGTTATATTTTGTTGTTCACAATTATTACAAAAGAAACACCCCTTTAAGGTTGAACATTGTTGCTGGTTTTAACGGGAAAACTTCTTTTTGCGATTTTTATGCATTACAGTGTTATGTTTTATAATATTCCTCACTAAATTTAGATTTAAATGGAAAAGGAGGAGCCTGATCTGAATATAAAAAATTCATTATAACATAATTTCTACCAAAAATTTCGAAGCCACGACAAATTGGCAGCCATAGTTGTTCTTTTTTATAGCTGCATTATCATTACAAAAAAACATTGAAAGAAAGGTTGAAACGCATTTAAAAGAGAGATATAACTTAGAAAGATTTAAGTTGGGAGAGACATTATGTACAATTTATAATCTATTAGTAGATATCATATCTATGTAGTAGCCAGTTCTCAATTATTGCACATTATCTAAACCAATTGCTTTCATTTAAATTACAATGCATGTATCTCTAGAGTATGCAATAGAATGTGTACACTATAATTATGGTTATATCATTACTGTTTCTAGCCACCTCTATATGTCCTCGAGGACGCGTGTGTGAGGGTATGTGTGGGCTTATGAGGGTGCGGTAGTTGATGTGTGGTGAATGTGTGTGTGTGTGGGTGTGTGTGTGCGTGTGCATGATTGCATCCCTCTCTCTCTCTCTCTCTCTCTCTCTCACCCCGCCCCCAATCTTGTCACATTCCCTCTGTATAACAATTTATTTTCTCGTCGATAATTTTCCCATGCCGGAATGTGACGAGGAACATAATACGACCAGAGAATATCTGACCTAGCGTTACGCACATTAAAGGAAAAATCTCAAGATAAAAGTCGAAAGGTAAATGCACCCTGTGGCGACATGTGGAGGTGTATCCAAGTTTGAATATGGATGAGATGAGAGCATAGATTGTGGCTGACATAAGATCAGCTTTGATCCATTAGGTTCATCAAATTCCTGACTTACAGTGGCCTCGGACGATAAACGTACAAAGTTCGTGCATTCAAGCAGATTCGTAAAGAGACAATTTTAAGCATGAGAAGAAAAACATAAAGTAAATGCAAGGATATGTGATTGATCTGGATTTTAAAGAGCTTCTGAATATGATGAGATTTCATCTGGAGTAATGTCTTAAATTAAGACGAAGGGTTCATGTCTAATTGACATGTTCGACAATACTCACTATGTTAATGTTTAACATTCAATGTCATGCCAAGGTAATTATGTATGAACTCGAGCAGACTTGAACCGATTGCTACAATCCTTCCTCACATATCACATGATGTGTAATAACTGGCGATATTTTAGAGGTTATCAATGACGTGTGTCGAATTTTGAACCCAAGATCTTTATAATACGGATGACCTTGGCAGTTACGTGCTTTTTCTTACAATTTCTAATCGGCTTTGATCAAATTAAAATACGCGTCAAAAGGGTTTCAGCTGTTATCACGTGATGAAATTTGTCACCAATGGTTAAAAATGTAGGAATTAAGAGTTGGCAGAAACCTGAAGAAATTAAGTTAACAAATTTTAAACACCAAATGGCGCCGATGAAAATTCCTGAAACGACAGCAAATAAGTTCATGTGGCTCTTGTTCTTACTTAAAGAAAAAGGGTCAGAAAGATGTCGGGGAGAGAGAGGGGAGGAATTAGGGAGGGAGGGAGGGAGGGAGGCAGGGAGGCAGGGAGAGGAAGAGAAAGAGAGAAAGAGAGATAAAGAGAGAGAGAGAGAGGAAGAGAAACAGAGAGAGAGAGAGAGAGAGAGAGAGAGAGAGAGATACTGTAAAGAAGGGAAGCGTGGAAACGGTACAATATCAAATAAATAAGAGTAGAATATTGTAGGATACATTTACATCAACCATTGAATCTAAGGTCAGGAAATTCTCTGTAACGATTCCTAGTATACATTAATTTTGAAGTACTGGAATATCAAAGTAAAAAGAAGGAAAAAAATAAGAAAATCTCGTCTAAATCATTCAAGCAATTTCGAACAATTAAATAATCAAAGGTCCATTATTATGAATTCTCACCTGCATAACTTGTTTCTTGCCTTCCTCAGATAAAGCATAGTACAGAGGATCAATCACACATTGGCTGGACTTCACCTGAATCAATCAAATCCAATCAGAACAAATTTCACAGTTATCAAACTACATTAAACAATTACTGGTGTTTTTATTCCAATTCTTATGAATGCAAAACGATTTTCAAGGGTGACTCTTGAGGCTAATTGAAATAGTTAATCTTTGTAGTGCTATTATCGAACACGCTAATCTTGTTAAATTCATCCTGTTTCTCTCCAATCATTGAAGACCTATGACAGACAGGATTTGTACAAAAATAAGAAACAATAACATTGCTACTAGGGAAATACGAGGGAGCGTAGCGACCGAGCGAAATTTTATAGATTTGAAAGAGGTGTCGTTGTCTGGTGTAGTAAATACGTCACCGGACTGTGTATCACCTGTTTTGCGGTTTAAGTCCCGCGGCAATAATGTCCTTTGGCAAGGCATTAATATACATTTGCCACCCTCCACCCAGGAGTTACGTGGGTGTCTGGTAGGATGCGAACGTTAATTTGGTTGGATTGGCATGTGTGCGCTTGTCAAATGGCGCCTGGCCGGAAGACTCCCCAGGGAGCGGAGCGTGTGCACTATCGTGTGCGAATTACCAATTGAATCCAATGACAAAGGTAATAACGATTACAATGTAATGCGCTTAGAAACGTAATATTCAATTCAATTCAATTATTTTGATTTATCCAGATTCACAGGAATACATGGAAATTAAACGTTATATAAATGTGACTATTATTATCATTATCATTTTGGAACGTTGACACCGATGGGGCTTTATTTCATTTGTGACTGTGGCAATTTTTTGTCTATCATATTTGATGACAGATGTTAATAATCGTTAAAGGGTTTAAATTTTGTATGATGAACTTTGTGATACGCTCACATATATGACAACTTTTAAAACATAATAAATCATTATATGATATTATTTCTGAATGCTCGCTAGAACAAATATAAATATTAAAAAAACATGTTTGACTACATGTTATGTTTCACTTTGTTGACACCGATGCTCTAGTAGAGGGTTTTTGAGTGCAGTGTATGGCGCTCATTTATTCGGAGAACACATTATTTTCATCCGAGACATCAAACCTTTCCATTTATTAATTCCTCTCTCCAATTGGCAGTAAAAAGTGACAAGCTAAGCACTAAAAAAATTTCACTCTCCTCTCCGTAATTGAATTATCCATATTGAAACCTTACACTGAGTATTATAGTTCATGCGAGAATATTGCTTTCAAAATTGCAAGGCCGATTACTTCTAACCAATGTACCAACCTTTTTTCCCTAGTTTCAAAATAGTTTTGTTGTAAAGAGATTATGTGTAAATTTGATTTGCAGCCAGTAAATGCCAGTAAACGCAAATAGGCGATTCGAGGGTGGTGGAAAATGGGGGACGTTTGAAGTGGTAATCTAATTGTTACAATGTATATTTGGAAATGATAGTTGGATTCAAAACAAATCGTGCAGATACATTTTTACAAATGCCATGTAATCCAACAATTGGCTATGTTAATTACCTTAAAAAACTCTGATTTGGATGCTGAAATGTGTTTTTAATTTTCTTTTTTGTTAAACAAATTAGAAATAGGTTGGCGTTGTAATAATTGGAAAAGATGATTTTAGTTGTGTTGTTGTGACACATAGCAAGTGTGACGATTTTTCGAAGTAGTGCTAAATCATTACCCTGATATTTGGCAGTGCGTGCGCCCTTCCATGCATGTTAAAAAAGTACAATTAAAATTGCGACTATTCCCTTATTTTTCGTATCCTATTCAGGTTATATTCTACACTCAATTACTATACATCCGTAATGGAATAATGCTCGAAGAAAGGCCAGAGGTATATGGCACGGATACTTGGATTCAAAAGAAAGTACTTTAAGTAATTACTCTAACTGATTTACTGCTCACGTACATCGTGCTCTGTTCCATAATGCCGTGGAAATTTTCTCAAATGTTCTTTTTTTCCCGTTTACTACCAAGTTTTGAAAAAGCCTACTTTGGACACAGCTGACCTTTCTTCTTGTCACCTAGGCCAATTTGTACACAAATAACAACATCTAAAAATGCATCATTTAGATATGCATTGGATAACATATGACACGAATATTAATTTATATTCGTAATCACCTAAAAATGAGACCCCTCTCTCTCTCTCTCTCTCTCTCTCTCTCTTGGAGATAGAAATCTAAATAAGAAAATTTTGACCATCTTTGACCAGCATTGTGTTCAGCTGATTATGCCCCCCTTCCCGGTCTTTGGAAGGTATATTTGGATCGTGTAATGCCAAACAAGTGCATTTTCCCCGAAGAAAAGCTCGAATAAAGTGAAGATTTCAATCTCTGGCTTTACCACTAAGGTAAAGGAGTTTCCTGCATTTCTTGTGTGTACCGTCTTAAATATATATATATATTTTTTTTTTTGGGGGGGGGGGGGGGGGGGGGGGGGGGGTTGATAGCAGCACCCTTGTTGGATAGGGTAACTATTGGTATCTTAAATAGTGCTACATTTATTTTATAATATGAAACATCTATTCATAGTGTTATGGACATCAAGAGAACGAATACAAATAACCATAAATAAAATATAACACATTTTCACAATGAACTTATGGCAGATTTCCCCTTGTGTATTTAGGAAACATATTGAGTAAACAAGGAAATTTAATGGGGCAAATTTCTATGTCAACCCAATCAACGAAAAAAATTGTTATTGAAAATGAATCCTTTTTGTTAGATTTATGCACAATCCAGCAATATTAAATTTACGAAGAGTGTTGAATAACATCTTTAAAAAGGTCGTCAGCCAAGGAGTAACAACGACTTGCGCTTTTCATATCTCTCCTATTTCTCGCATAAAAAGACAAAATACGGGACATATCTACGCCTGTAATATTTTGCCTACAGGAAGATTCATATATTAAGAATTGGAAACAGAAAAACAATGACAAGTATGTCTCCCTCGAGTCACATAATTTCAAAATTCGTATTTTTTCAGGAAGGCAAGCGTGAGCTTTGAATTACATTACACAGTTTTCGCTAGGTAATTTCATTTCTTAGAGTTAAATAAATCAACGGGGTAAACCATTGAGTGATATTAAGAAAGTGGTGAAAAATTGGTTAGGTGAATGGTGGAAAGGTTTTAAGGTATGTAGTCACTGCTTATGATAACTTGTTTTGAAATAACTGTATATACTGTCAATCAGATATTTAAAGATTATATTGTAATACGAAGAGAAGAGAAGAGGAGAAAAGAGGAGATAATCGGAGAGAAGAGAGGGGAAGAGAATAGGAGAAAAGAGAATATAGGAAAAGAGAAGAAAAGAGAAGAGAAGAGAAGAGAAGAGAAGAGAAGAGAAGAAAAGAGAGGAGAAGAAAAGAGGAGAGAATCGAATTTAAGAGGGGAAGAGAGGATGAGAGAAGAGAGGAAGAGAAGAGAAGAGAAGAGAAGAAGAGAAAAGGAGAGAAGAGAATAGAAGAAGAAAAGAGGAGAGAAGATAAGAGAAGAGAAGAGGAAAGGAGAGAAGAGAAGAGAAGAAAAGAGAAGAGAAGAGAAGAAAAGAGAAGAAAAGAGAAGAAAAGAGAAGAAAAGAGAAGAGAAGAGAAGAGAAGAGAAGAGAAGAGAAGAATAGTGAAGAGAAGAGAAGAGGAGAGGATAGAATGAATAAGATATCAAATGACTTCTTACTGATGAGTTCTTCTCACTGTTGTTATCCTGTTCTTCCTCAGCTTCGAATCCTCTCTTACCTGCAAGAATAGATGAAGTAACGGTTAAGTTCATTACGTAACAGCATCAGATCGCTCATAATTATGTTTCCACCAAACTTTTCATCCTTGGGTTTTAACCGATTTCTCTAATTCTTGAAGTAGTCACTTTTGTATTGTTCATCATTTTCTCCTACTCCGATTCTTTTTCTTTTATTTATTTGATGCGTTCTCTGTACAATAATTAATTTAAGAACGCATCGAATTAAAGAGGGACACATAATCATACATTATTAGGAAATGATATTAAGAAATAGCCTTAAAATGTATATCTCTTCGGGTTATGAACGTTGTTTTTAATGATAATATTATTAATAATGATAAAAAGAACAGATATTTCTCTATTTATCTACTATTCTGAGGACAAGTGTGAATTTGAGAACGAGAAAATAAAAATACAATAGGTTTCAACGATGCTTGGGTATTTATCAGTAGCTAATTTTCTATTGATAAAGATTAATTCTGTTCCAATTCAAACAAAATCATTTTGTATGAAACGTTAATTAATCTGATCATTTCGATTTTTACTGAAACTGTACGCCAGATTCTGTAGTTTAAGACCATGGTCTATTTTTACATTCATAGATACCACGAACTTATATCCATACTAAGCGGTTCTGAAAACATCGTAGTATTATCGAAAATGAAATAGAAAGATCTTGGCAGGGTTTTCGAAAGGATTTCCATTATCCTGTCTTTGTCTTCATATTTGATTTCCGATTTGCATGGATTATTGAAACATCTGTCTGCTTTGATAGGTCTTAGTAAGTTAGTAAGCTACTCTACTTCGATTTAGGTCGCGGTAAAGATCTCAATTTTGTGTTCAGAAAGGTTACATATCTCGCTGGTGGAAGGGAAATTGTGAATGGTTTTTATGAAGAAAAAAAAATAGAGAAAAAAACAACAACACTATAATGTTGATACAGTCATGACATAATACAATTTTAAAAAAATAGATATCGCAAGATACGGAACGATTCAAATCAATTGCCTGAGGTTCTTAGAATATATGTATATTGGACACATCATTATGGATAGGTCAAGAGAAGAACGTCGTTGTAGGACAAACTAATATTGGGCGTTTTGACAAAAATATGAATTTTCGGTAAACAAAATAATTGAAAATGACATCCATGTAAAAACAAATACCGTTTGCCTCCATAAAGCTGCCTAACGAAATTATTATTGTTTTTTTTTTCTTTTTTTCAAAAGCACATGGAAAATGTAACGTATACCATCGCCCAAATTGAAAATAACCATAACTCATTGAGAAAAAAACGAACACCAAATAACCGATATATCCCATTGTTAGCACCCACCAAATATATCATAAATATTTGTTAAAGCGATGACCGATGACCTGGGAAGAGTTCGGAGGGCGCTTCCGGTCGCTTTGCTTGTTTACCCGACATAGCAGCATAGCGACTCGGACGCGCCTCCCGACCCCTCTCACTTGGAATCGAACGCTGAAAACATCTTCTTGGACTGGACTGACACAAGATATCTTCTCTCCATTTCGGTCGTACTCTTTGTTTCCTTCCTCGTGTTACATTCCTGATCATAAAGTACTTTGAGTTATCCGTTATCTAAAGCAGGTCTGCACTACTTGTAGATACTTGCGCCCTCTATGTAGCCAACAATGACCCCCCATGGTTCCCTTTTTCCTATGTTAATTAAGAGCTGATTTGATGAGGTAACCACCTGCCAGTGACCACGCAGGGAGGTATAATCTCTCCTGGCCAAACTAGTGCAGATAGGCTTTAATCATTTTCCAGACACTAGATATCTATTCCTTTCCTACCCCCCCCCCCCCTCTTATAACTCATACTCTTGGTGTATTTGATCTTCCGAAGTATCTTTATTTGTCTGTTCTTAGACATATTTTAGTTTTCGTCTCAATATGTTTCATTCCCTGTCAACTCTTCCTCGTCTTCTACTCCATCTTCATTTTTCTTCTTCTGCTTGTTTTTCTTCTTCTTTCCCTGCATTCTCTAATATGCGTCTTAATCTTTCATCCTTCTTCTTCCTGCACCGATATTACTCCTTTTTTCTCCTTCGGGTTGTACATGTATTTTATGATTCGCAGACTTGACCGGATGATGTTGACTGTCCTAACTTCATCCCTAAATGTCTTGAGATGGTTCGCTGACCAGCTCCCTCCTCTCCTCTTATCTCTAATAATCACCGGAGGGCAACATGGATGGAGATTATATTTCTTTACTATAAAATTGCTTCAAATGCCTTTCAAAAACCGCTTTATTTTAGGGCAATTTTTATAGCATATCAGAAAATCAGTGTTAAGCACCATTATCGTCTGTCGGCAGCTGATCCTGTTGTGTTTACATGTACAGTTAACAACTAAATTATTCTTACCCTTTGTAAATTTGATGTTTATGGGGTGTTTCCGTTACTCAAGAATAGAAGGTTAACTGGTTAAATTAGGGCCTTCGATGAATAATTTTAAATGTAACCTTTAGTGTGTCACATTATCAAGAAACATAATCTTTGGCAAGACATTGATCTACATTTGCCACACTCCACCCAGGTGAAGTAACTGGGTACCTGGTAGGAATTTATTCCTTGAAATGCTAGAGCGCCGTATGGCAGCCGTGCTAAAGCCAGGGTAATAATCGGGAGCGCCAGGAGGGTCAAATCTGACTGACATGAGCGCTATACAAGAACCCACTATTATTATTATTATTATTATTATTATTATTACAAATCAATTTTCACATGTTTACAAAAATACTTAACTTGGTAAGGGCATGAATATATTAGTTTGTTAATTGTATATTCCGAGTTTTGAATTCTTGATATACCTGCCCTGCTACCCAGACCGATTGAGGCTTGACAAACCAGTTGCTGGTTGTAGTTCTCGTAGACGTTGACTGTTTCATGTATTGTTTAACGTATACTTATCCGTTCATATTGAACCATTCTATTATTCAAGCTAGCGAAAGCCAAAATCAATAACTTTCAGAAACTATAATGGAATCCATTGTAGATCGTTAGAAATTGATTTTACTATTAGAAAATAGACAACGAGTAGTTAAGCGCAATTTTCCTATGTCACGGATCTAGTTATCTAGAACAATGAAGAAAATAATTCCGTACGCGTATTTTGATATAAACTTGAAATCACAATAAGCCCTATCTATGCAGCTGATTTTTGAGGTTAAAATTAAGATCAGTGAATGCGATTCATTTCCTTTCACTCGCCACTTCATATAACTACAACTGCCAATTTATACATAAGAACAGCGTTTTTCAACCTTTATTTCAGTCACGGCACCCTGTTCAGGAATAAAAGGTTTCGCGTCACCCCAATCCCAACTTCATCAAAGAAAATTACTTCTGCATCATCCCGAAACTTGTCAGGTGTCAAGTACACACCTACAGGCATATTTGTGTCATTTTGTTTTTGCGAACGAGCCAAAAGTGACATATATTTGACATTTTTAACCAATATCGTTTTAATCAACACACGGAATAAGCTATATTAAAAAATAATGTATGCGGGCACCCGCTGCAAAAATGAGGATATATTCGGGCATCTAGTTGCAAGCGGGTGAAGCGAAGAAGATATAAAATATATATATGACATTCGGGCACTTCATTGCAAAAATATCGACGTGTTAAGGCACTTCGCGGCCTGAAACAATCCTGTTTCTAAAAAATGCGAGAGAAAATTTTCATGAAATTACATACTCTAGCGGTATCTAATATTTGGTGTTTCACGAATTCGAAATTATTACAAAATAATTTTTAGATAAAACTAAATTTTCGTCGCGGCACCCCGGTTGAAAAAACGCTGCTTTAGATAGTTGTATTTGAAGGTTTAAAATTCGCAGAACCTAATACATAGACGCTTTCCATCTAAACATTGATTGTGCTAATGGCGGTTGATACTTTTACACGAAGGTGTGAAGGTCATTGACGTTGTTATTCGAAATGCAAGGATGGCTTGTTTCGTCTTGTTTGGCATTACTTTGAGAGCATTTCATAAGATGCATTCCCACTTACTTCAGATACGTATATGACTTTTGACGATTAAGCCATGACTGTGACTAGTGGCCCTTTTTCACACCAGCTGCATGCAGAGATCGATCGTAGTAAATTCATAGCGAGCAAAAATTGAATATTCTCAAGGCGCAGAAAGTAGATAACTTAGAGGTAACAGTATCATAATGGCAATGAAATCGAAACGGGTGAACAATAAAGCTAATGTAATTTGGAGGTGCAGGGCAGGACCACTTCACTTACCCAAAGGCCTGGTACAGATATTTTTGCAAGTGTCCATGTGTGAGATGAGGTATTCCTTGTTCACTGAACACTGTCTACAGTCTGTGAAAAAAAATGGGGAAAAACGGAGAGAAAGGGAAACATAAAATAAAGATGTAAATATTTGAAAACAGAACGAGAGGAACATGTTCAAATGCAAATCTTGCATTTATCTGACAGATTTTCAAAAGGGAGATTGTATCAGGAGTACCTTCACTTTTAATGTAATTTTTATGCAATGGGATCAATATTATTCACGCAAATTCATAAATGGCATATACCAGCTACGTTGGTCATCATTTCTACTCTTTTTAATGATCATTTTATTCACAAGATCAATCACACAAAAGGCCAAGCAATTAAAGCGGCGATAACGGTGTGATGAGTATTCATCAAATTCCACTATTCGATAAATTTCAGAAATAGGATCACGAACAGGGAATATTGTTTAAAATCCATCAAGGCCAAAAAGGGAGAGGATGGAGGTAAAGGAAAGATCAAAAGGTAGTTTTATTAAATGTTTTCCCCCCAAGTTCTATGGATATTTGATTGGAAAATTTGTTAAAGATGGGGGGGAGGGGGGTACCGAGAGGCGGGACACAAGTAAACTCAAATAGAGGTCAACGGCTGTGAGCTATGTAACCAATTACAGCAATGACAAAAATACATCTGTAACATGTCGTGACATTTTCATCTATATTACTTTCTCTCTCTTTCTCCCTCCACCTCCTCTCTATCATTCCTTCTCTATCTATCTATCTATCTATCTATCTATACCTTATCTCTCTCCTACGCCCCTCATTCTCCTCCTCTTCCTCTTTCTTATCCCACCCTCTTTCATTACCTCTCTCTCTCTATTCTCAATCTCTGTCCTCTTTTTTTCTCTCTATCTTACTCTTTTATTCGCTTATGTTTTAAACTGCCTCCTCACCTACTCTTATACCACAGGGGTGACAAAATTACCGTGTGAGGAAAATAAAGTTCACATAGAATTGAGATCAATTAATGATGGGAATACGTTTAGAGATTCGTCATGATTAAGTTGGCCGTAAGAGCGAAAAAATTTACTTAATTGAACATGGATATAAAATTATGAATAAGAATGAAAACCAAATTTAAATCCTAATGTTTCTCAAGGAAAAAAAAATAAAAGGAATATGGGGAAGTGAGAGAGAGAGAGAGAGAGAGAGAGATAGATACATAGAGACAGAGAGAGACAGAGAGAGAGACAGAGACAGAGAAAGACAGAGACAGAGAGAGAGAAATAGAGAGAGAGAGAGGGGGGGGGGGGGGGATAGGAGGAGAAAGCATTGCTATAATCAAATCTTAGACTGATAAAAAAATATGGAGTGATCCTACTCGTTTAAGATGAGATCAGAGAAGCTTCATAGCATGAGAGGTGTTTAGTGTCTCTAGATCGGAAATGGTACAAGTGATTCTCAGAACAGATACCATATTAACAAGATTTAGATCTTAAATATGTATAGATTACGGGTACTTCAACAAAATACGTAGGGGCAAAAACACAGACAGACTATTGTAGCTAAAGGAGGGGAATGAATCTGAGGTATAGTTGAGAGAGGGATAAAGAGAAAGAAAGAGAGAAGGAGAGAGAGAGAGAGAGAGGAAATGAGAGAGAGACAGGCAGAGAGATAGATAGAGAGGTGGAGGGATGGAGAGAGAGGGAAAGAGAGAGAAAGAGAAAGATAGAGGGAGAGAGAGAGAGAGAGAGAGAGGGGAGAGAGAACAAACAAAGGGGAAATGAAGGAAGAATGAGAGCAAGTTGAAGTGTAAGGAGGAAAGGAGAAACAGAGAAGAGAGGGAGAGGAAGAATGGGGAGAGAGAATGGATAAAAGAGAGGTAGGGAGAGAGAATGGAAAAAAGAGGGGTAGGGAGAGAAAGAAAGAGAGAGAGAGAGAGGGGGGAGAGGGAGGAGACAAAGATGAAGACAAAGGACGGAGGAAACAAAGAGCCCTGTGGACAAAACATAACAGACATCAATAATGAAAATTGATATAAATCAAGAATGACCAATTCAGAGTTTTAATGAAACAGAGTCAGAATATCAGCAAGTGACAGTGATCTCCTGGGAGGCACTATCAGCATGATCCTCACACACCATGACATCCCACACCCTCTAGACATCACTATTACAACCTCCTAACTCTCACTGACCTGTCAATAGGACTTCTACTGCTCATGGATTCCCAAAATGGCTTAATTACCGTTATTCACAGGAACATTATAATGAGCATAACGACAACGCGTTCTAAGTTTCTTTGAATACAAACACATCTACAATTATAAGCCCCTCGCGGCATATACTATATTCGCTGGGTTAATAGGATAAGAAGTATTATACTAAAATAGAACAAGAGGGGGTCGGAAAGGATAAAGTGCCAGTTCGCACAAAAACGTGGTTAATTATCCTCGAATCAACTCTTAATGGATATAGAGGTGCCCATGCCATTTAGATTATCTTTTCCGTTTAAACGCTAAAAACATCAGCGTATAAATACCCTTACTCTCCGATTTCCCTTTTGATCTTTTTCAGGTCCACGTAGATTTATACCCTTCCTTTTTTCACACGTTATCTTTCCATTTTTAACTGCCAGCTAAGGAATTCTCATACTTTGGAGGTTGAGTAATACATTTTCATATTTTCTCACCATCATAATATGAGGTGTCATCATTCTAAAAACACACACGCTAGAATCAAAACAAATCATCCAATCATCATTAAATCTTCTTGGAAACAAAATGTATTTGGTCCATTCTCATAAGCTATACAGAAACATGACGTTTGAAACCATGCTATGAGTATATATAGGAATTAATAAAAAAAAAACGTTTTATGTACTTACTTAGACCGCCCTTTTTCTCTGCATTCCTGTGTCTCATGAGGTCCATTTCTTCTAGGAGAGTACATGTCGAATATTCAACCACAATCATAAGGCACGCTACCACCAACCAACTCTGGACCCCACTCCAATGCCTAGAACCAGACATCTTCTGAATAAAACAATTATATTGTTTTTATATAAAAACTAACTTCTTCAAAAAGCCTTCCCGAACCCAACACCTTGAGTGAACTGGAAAAGTGTTCGTATATGCTCGAGTGCGATGTTAATACAAGAAATCTCCAACTCTTGTCGAAACCAAGAAAGAAAAGAGATGTTGAGATTTAGTGATGGCCTATGGTTTGATGTCGGCAATTTTACTCCACGCGTTAAAAAGCAGGTGATAGCTCCCAGCAATGCATTTACTTGAGAGTTGGAGACTTTTTAGATTGTAACGAATACGAGCTCTTTTCTCATGCTTTCGATTTTAGGGACACCGTCAAATTTCAGACGTCGAACAAGTTTTCAATACTTCAGCTCTGAAAAGTGATCCAGCTCTTTGATAGGTGGGAATCTCAGCGCTTTCATCACGAAAGCAATAGGGTATGTTGGATATGAAATTTAGTGTGAAGAAGATTGGCAGTTTTAACCGGAATTTCGTGACACAAAAAAGGCGGGCAATATCGAGGTTTTTATGACACAAACAATAGTATTTAAAAGAATATGATAGTGCCTGATGAATATATAGCAGTTGAGTTCATGCCATTTACTAAGAAGAGGCGGGGACTTAACGAATGATCGCCATATCTCTTCGTCCTATCATGCCTATTAATAGATGCTGCATGACGACGATAGCGTCACTGAATCGGGCAAAACATGTCCGCACCTTAAGGCCCTCATTAAAGGTGTGTTTACACTCCCTCTCAAAAAAGACCCAAGCCCATTCAGAAATAAATGACCTTAACTCCACTTGAATTATTTTGTCAACATATTTGTTTTAATAATGTAGGCCTACGTTCATAGCAATTCCTTTATAGGTATCGTTCAACAATGTTAATCTGAGATGCATGACCCTTGGTGGACGTAGTGTTATAAAAACCGTTAAGAAAACGAATTCTGAAATTTCTAATTTTAATCATCGATATCTTGATAATCAGACAGGCGATTGGCTTGTAAAAGTGATGGGATTCCTGACTGACCTAAAGGTTTATAATTATGATTCAGCATGAGCTAAATCCAAGATTTTTTTTATTGAAGCTGAGGCAAAGTTACCCAATCCCTTTTAATATACTTCTCCATCAAAAATAAAGGGTTACGTAATATGAGTACTGCCCCCCCCCCCAGTACTGGTATACTACCCCTATTAGTCCTACTACTCTTCGCAGCAGAAATCTAACGACTGTGCCTGAGGTACCTGCCACACGTGAAAGGGGGAAAGGTGGTGGTGGTGGTGGGGGGGGGGGGGGTTCTAGTTGTCACTAGTACCGGTCCAAGAAGGAGTTAACGAAATCATAGTCCTTTGGAATAATTTTGTACTGCCTGTTAATTTGTGCGTCCTATTTTATGTCCATGAATTAAAGAGCAACAGGGAGTCGACTTTCATATCTAAAGAAGATAGCACAAACAATGTAAACAGGATCCCCTTGTTTTGAGTCTCCATGGTTCGCGATGGTTCAGTGGTACAGCAGTGGTCTCGTAACCGGGGGATCCCGGGTTCGAAACCTAGTCGATGCGCTAGTACCATTTGTTAAAGCATCAATCCCCATTTCCAAATCCCTCGTTGAGGACTTAAGCCGTCAGTCTCCTGGTTGCTTATTTACTATCCATGCTTTCTATTAAAGCAGTCGTGCATAACAAACAAACAACAGTCACGTATTTCACTTTAAAAAACATTTTGCATACACATTTAGTGCAATGCAACGTTTCTTGTTGGATGTATTCTTTGTGTCACTTTCTAACTACCCTGAACTAATTTTTATTTTAGCCAAAACGGACAGAACACTTCTGAAAATTGGAGCCCGTTTACGCTCGCTAAAATATCCCACTAACTGAAACATAAGAAGATCACTAAAGAAAGTCGCTCATCGTATTTCTGACTGCGTTCCAAAATATTGTCGTGTTTGATGAATGTTGCAGTTGCAACAAGACATCCTGACTTCCTGAAGTAATCTTTCATTGGTTTATGATCGGAAGGATTACGCAAACTAGAGGAAAGTGGGTTGTCTTCGCCAATATCCTATATTCTATTATCCGATATTCAAAACGACGGAGAAGAAAAGCAACGTTGAAAAGTGGATCGTTTTTTTTTTTTACTTCTCACGGAGCTGTATACTGACTTGGTGCGTCATTTAGTAGGAAAACAAATCGCGTATGAATGTGTGTGTATAATTAGTTAGTATTCCCGTCAGCTCTCGAACCATAAAGATAATTTTCTAAGTTGATGTGATAAATGTGCTTTGGTGAGTTGACCTCTTACATTACAATTGGTTTGATGGTATCATTGTCTCATGACATCGTGACATGAGCAATCAGACTAGGTAATTGAGGATGAACAAAAGATGTTTAAACCAAAAAATTTTTATCACCATTCTAGACATCATAATGATGGATGGAGTCTAATTATTAAGTAGCCGGCCAGTCACTATCAAGAAAGAAAGCATGATTCTATTAATTTGCATCAATGTAAGTGGGTTGTAAGAAAGAGATTGATGTCTAGACTGTTGATTTTAGAAAGTGAATGAGCTGAATAGGTATTCAAATAGATGAAGATGTGTCAAGATGTATCTAATTATGATTAATAAATCATTTACTAATTTCCGAAGTCGAATGAAGCAAATCACTTATTTATACGTTCGTGAACAAAGTATAAATTTAAAAGATTTGCCGAAATAAAGTTTTATTTGATATTGTTTTGAAAAATGACAAGAAAAAGATAAATTTTTGTACCACTCATTACGTTTTATCCTACAGCCATCATATTTTTCTTCCTTTATGACAAGTGTGTTGGTAAACTTTGAATTGGTTTATGGTTGATTAACGCTCTCTCTTGTTAATCATGTATTGCCTTATTAGCGCAACTTCTGTTCGAGACGTCATGCTCTCTCTCTCTCTCTCTCTCTCTCTCTCTCTCTCTCTCTCTCTCTCTCTCTTTATGTAACCGATCATTGATAACGTTGCGAGGAAATATATTACCAATAATGATGATAATTCGCAGACTCCAGGAGTTCCGCCAACTGGAAAGCCAGAAACATGCAATTAGTCTTAATGTGTCCAGTCGTGCGCAGAAAGTAATGGTGTCCGGTAACTACTAATTTTACCGTTAATATACAAAAAAAAATCATTGTCGGGGAGAGGGGGAAAAAAATCAATAGCAACGACCATGGGCTGGACTCCATCAAATATACTTTACAGAAAAATTGCTATTTGCTTTGTCCCGCCGACGATAGAGGACGTGCTCGATTCGGCGTACCGGAATACCGTATGTAGAAGATGCGGCGATGTATGGATACACTTGCGTAGCTTTCCACGAATCAGATGGATGTGATTATTCACGTTATCCAACTTTCGATTCCTATATAGGATAATTATCATATTTCTTTGAGGAGCATTGTTAATACGAACAGATCGGAGCTTGGTTGGCTGATGACCCATAGATTTTTAATTCAGCATCAAGATTATACGTCATTTCCATCAGCGACATCGTGGAAATTAGTAATATTAGCTTCACAGTAATTGTCAGACGATAAATTATTGAAACAGAATCGATATAAGGAAGCGTCAAACTACAAATGGATTAGAGAACTGCTGGGATCAACACTAATCTGTTACCTTTTGTTTGTACTGCATATTGTGTCAGTATATTATTTGGATAGAACTGTTTGAAGTGATCAACAGAAGAATATTATTGATTTAGCGTTACAGAAGAAGAATCTACTACTCTCAATAATTTTTCACATAAGTGACCGTTAGTATACCAGGACAAAATCAGTGATGGCGAGGAAAATGGCATCGATGAGTTGTCAATTTTACTTGACAGTGGTCTTTCTTCTGGTGCTCATTGCAGTCCAGTGTACGTGTAATCTTCTAGATGACATGGAAATGGCAAGATACAACCAAGAATATAAGAGGAGCAGAGTAGGTAAGTACAAACATTCTTCTTCGTTCGTATTTTTTTCAATTTTGAAATGATTTATCACCTTTTTTTGTTAAAGATATAATTATTTTATTGATTTCTTTTTAATGATAGGCCTATGATTGAATTTTATTTTTTAACTTTTTTAATAATATATCTGTACCTGGTTTGTATATTACTGTTTGTTTATGTAAACAATGCAGAAATAAAATAAAACAAGGAAACAAGCAAACGATCCAGGGATGGTGTGACGAAGCTTAAGAAAGGGAGGGCACGCGCAAGGGCGGATCCAGGGGGCGGGGCGCACGCAGGTTTGTACATTTCACACCCCCCTTTTAGGAAAATATTCAATCTACCCTTGGGGTGGGGAAGGGGGGGGGGAGGCTAAGAATAATATTTTGATATCTTGAATAAATGAATAAATGAATAAATGAATAAATGTTGCTCTTGATTCTTAATAAACAGTCTGATCTCAACTTCTCGAGCGCAAAATGATATTTAGACTCGACACCATGCAAATATCGTCTCACCAGTTGCGGTCATTTAGGCTTCATACATACAGGTGCAAGACGTTGATGACACTTTGCATACTTAACACGGGGTCACTGTACATGCTACATTAATCTTTGATGAATTTGAAGAGAGAGACTCCTAATGATATAGTACATTTCTAGAGAGGCAAAACAGATGGAATGCGATATTCAATTATTGTTGACTAAGTTTTTAGTAGAAAAAAATCCTGGTAAATTCTAGCTTGTTCATAGCCAGTAAAATGAAAAGTAACGCTAAACAAAACGCTTCAAGCAACAACCACTGATAATGATAAAGCTGCCAAGTCTCGCCCAGATTCCGTCATGCATCATGTGCACTTACGCTCAATTATATACATTTAGAGATTTTCTCAATTTTGTACTCGAAGCCAGGGTAAAGTTCGGACAAAATATAGTGTTTTGAAAAATTTGCACCTTTTTTCTTCTTCTAAATTTTAAAATTCAAGATGACTCCCGTTTGTGTGTTTAATGAATAAGATCAATTTTGCAACCCCCTCCCCCTAATTGCGGTTATAGTACTTGAACATGTATTTTTCCAAAGAGCTACAGATGGAACATTTTACCAGTAATTTGTTTACACCTTAGTGTAGATTATGCTCAGTTCGGGTTAAGGTATCGCAATTGCAATGTTCATGTAGTACCATATTCTTTTTTAGTGAAAAAAGATTATTGTTTAAGTGATGATACCAGTTTTTGTAAAGTAATTCGGAAAATCTACAGGGCATAACAATTAGTGCTGACCAACGGCGATTTTTCCTGTGTGTAGGCTATGTCAAAGAACTAACTTATTTTAGCTTATGATTTATGTTGTGGGTCAAAATACACTTTTTTATTGTTAGGATTTTTAGGAATTGCGATTCCCTAGTAAAATCTAATACGTAACATCAC